TCAGGCAGCTCGAGCTTAAGATCCAGATCAGTTCGGTCAGGACTCGGATGCACAGGAGGACTCGATCCACAACGCTATATAGTACAACCGCGGCACGGCGCATCGCAATTCAGCACGGCGCATCACAGCACAGACTTCGGCGCGGTACATTAAGATCGATACACTCAGCATTGCATCCTGGCACGTTCCTTGGCATGTTCCGTGGGGCGTCCCTTGGCGAATCCCCCTGGCACGTCGCGTGGCGCGTCCCCTGGCACATCCCGTGGCACATCCATGGGCACGTTCCGTAGCGCGTCCCCTTGGCACGTCCCGCGATGCGACCCCATGGCACGTCCCCTGGCACGTCGCTTGGCGCGTCCCTTGAGACGTTCCGCGGCGCGTCCTCCTGGCATGTCCCCCTGTCAATTAGTTCTGGGGCAGCTACTATGTTTTCAGGCAGCTCGAGCTTAAGATCCAGATCAGTTCGGTCAGGACTCGGATGCAAAGGAGGACTCGATCCACAACGCTATAGAGCACAATCGCGGCACGGCGCATCGCAATCCAGCACGGCGCAGCACTGTACAGCTCTCGGCAGGGTACATCAAGATCGATACTCTGAGCATTGCACTTGTGGGTGCATCAATCAGGTGTCTTTGGAAACGTTGCTATGCGTTACATTTCTATATGCCTTTCCGGGTTCGTGGGTCGATCATGTTTTCTTGTTTTGCCCTTCCTTGATTCTGGCCTCCAGAAGTCTGATCCCAACAAGCAGGCGACCGAAACTGAGTCGAGTCAGATCAGGGGCAGCGTTTGGGGGCCCTTACGTGGACAATAACTGTGATCTTTGCGGCGCAAGATGCCCCCCAGGATCCCACAAACTAATATTGAGCGTGCGGCAATGTAGGGGTTTTGAGTGGATAGAACTACTCGAACCCCAAAATCATCACCCACGCTCAAACCAACATTTATTTCGGGGGCGGGGGTGGTGGTGGTGAGAATCCCCCGTAAGTTTGTAAGATTTCGAGTGTACTGTCCATGTTCTGGATCAGGGTTCTTTTGGTTTTGTAGAGCTTGCGATCTGGGCGTTGCATTTTTTCCACACCAGGCGTTTTTGCGCGGTTATCTTGCCCAAGGGTTTTTACATATCGATCCGTTTTGAACAAGATCGGAGCAGGAAGATAGGGCTTACGCTCCTGTCGTGACTTGCTTTGTTGCTGCATTTTTTCGTAACGTCGAATCCCAGGGGTGAGGGGTTTTCGGACGTTGCCGTCGGTTCTCGGCCCGAGGATGTCTCGTGCGTGCCGCGTCCCGCGCGCAGTAATTTCGAGGATGTCTCGACCGATTCGCTGGTTTTTCCCGGAAGTGGCGTGGGCCCAGGGCTCTCTTCTAGTAGGTTTACCATCGGTTTTGACTTGAAGGAGGCCGGCGGATTTCCGCTCGATTAAAACAACTAGGTAAAGTCAAATTCGGCGTGAAAAAATACGTTTCGCGCGTGCCCGTTCGAGGAAAGTCGACCCCCCACCTCGGATCCTCGATAAATAACGAGGTCCGCGGACCACCGTTTTCCTTTGTGAGAAAAGGGTGCGGGCCATTTGTAGCAGAATCGTTGAAAAAAACCGAGGTCTGGAGCCCCCACCGCGACACAACAGATGTGAACATGTTGACTTTTTGCGTGCCCGCTCGAGGATGGCGCGCCCCCCGCGCCAAACATCGAGGATGTCTCGAGCGAAACGCTTGTTTTGCAAAACTTGAGGGACCTGGGCGCCCCAGCAAGCCCCAGAAGCGCGGACGCGGCGTAATCTACGAGGGATCGTGGCGTTTGGAGCGCGGACCACGCGTAATTTGCGAGGGATCGTGGCCCTCGGAGCGCGGGCGCAGCGTAATTTACAAGGGGTCGGGGCCTTGGGAGCTCGGACGCAATGTAATTTACGAGGGATCGTAGACCTTGGAGCGCGGGCGCAGCGTAAAGTACGAGGGATCGGTGCCCTGGGGGGTCGGACGCAGCGTAATTTACAAGGGATGTGGCCCTGGGAGCGCGGACGCAGAGTAATTTACAAGGGGTCGGGGCCCTGGGAGCGCGACCCCAATGTAATTTGCGAGGGATCGTGGCCCTGGGAGCGCGTCCCGTGGCACATCCATTGGCACGTTCCGTAGCGCTTCGCGGTGCGTCCCCGTGGCACGTCCCTTGGCACGTCGCCTGGCGCGTCCTCCTGGCATGTTCCCCTGTCAATTAGTTCTGGGGCAGCTACTATGTGTTCAGGCAGCTCGAGCTTAAGATCCAGATCAGTTCGGTCAGGACTCGGATGCAAAGGAGGACTCGATCCACAACGCTATAGAGCACAATCGAGGCATGCCACATCGCAATTCAGCACGGCGCTGCACAGCACAGACCTCGGCACAGTACATCAAGATCGATACACTCAGCATCGTATTTGCCCGTCGCCCAGTCAGGTGTCTTTGAAACGTTGCCATGTCTTACATGTCTATATTCCTTTCCTGGTTCGTGGGTCGATCATGTTCAATGTCAGGATCATGTCGTAGTTCGTTATTGCGAGTTCGCTGTGGTACAGGTCCCACATGGTACTCCATCTTCTACAGTCAACCGTCACAGTAAGGATGGGCAACCTTCCGAGGGTACCTCTGCATCCTCGACTCCTCGGCCCATCCTTGGCGACTTTCGCTGGCCAGCCTCGTTCGAGAAACGTCAGCTTGGCCCTCCTGGGCCTTTGCATCCTCACCGCGCATCCTTATGATACGGGTTGACTGTAGGGCGGGGCTGGCATAGGGGGGGAACTTCGACCTGGAATCGGCGATACATCGCCGATAGATCGGCGATAGGCCCCCGATAGCAAGTCCCCACGTGCCTGGGCGAGGTGGGGCTGGCGGACCCCTATCTGCGATCAGTGGGCGAGTTGGGGTCGATGCGTCCCCCCCTGTGCCTGTTCCCCCCTGCATCGTTGCCCCCGAAGACAACCCCAGAAATGCTCGCACCCTTATGCTACGGGCTGACTCTAATAGTCGCGACGCCGACGACCTCTGCCCCCCACCGCCCCGCAGCGCTCGGCTGGGTGGCCGCCCGCGCCGCCCGGCGGGACTTCCTGGCGCTCTGGGAGGGCGCGCCGCCCCGCCCCGCCCGCCGTGCTTTCCCCGCGGGCGTGCCGGCCCGCGCTGCGCGAGGCGGGCCGCCAGCAGGAGGAGGAGGAGGAGGAGGAGGAGGAGGAGGAGGAGGAGGAGGAGGAGGAGGGCGGCCCGAGCGATGCGCTTCGGCACTCTTCAGGGGGGATCTCGAGGATCGAAGCCCGAGGATCGAGGCTCGAGGATCGACGCTCGAGGAGCGAGGATCGAGGCTCGAGAGGCTCGAGGCTCGAGGCCCCCAGGAAGAGCTCCACCCAGAGGCCTCGCGCCCCGACGGGCCCCCGAAGTCGATGCCGAGTCGGATTTGACCGTGTCGGCCGAGATCGCCGCCGAGTCGAGTTGGATCGCGACGGCTGGAGCCGATGCCGAATCGGACCGGATCGCGACGGCCGAGATCGCTGCCGAATCGGATCGATGGGGCCAGGATCGATGACTTAGCATGGGGGAAACGGATTCTGAGTGAAACGGGTCCTGAGCTTTTTCCCCGTTCTCGGCCTCTCGGGGCCTTCCACGGGCCCTGGGGACCATCAGACAACGACTCAGGATAAAGAATTCGTCTTGGGTGAATGCCCCAGGGTCCAGGACCCGCCTCCCACAGGACCCGCTTTCCCCGTGCTGAGTCGTCGATCTCGGTCTGATCGATCCGATTCGGCATCGATTTCGGCCGTCGCGATCCGATCCGATTCGGCATCGACCTCGGCCGTCGTGATCCGATCCGATTCGGCATTGGCCTCGGCCGCCTTAGATTGCAACTCATGGGAGCCTATTTTCAAATGGTCGTTCGTCCCGGGCGGAGCAAATGGCAGCAAACGGCAGCAAACGACATGACAGGCAACATATTATGCGCTCCGTCAGGACGAAGAGAGGAGGAGGAGGAAGACGCGGATAATGAGAAGGAAAAGGAGGAAAAGGGGAAGGAAGAGGACATGAAAGACGGACGGGGACAAGGAGGAGGCGGAGGAACACCAAGAGGAGCATGAGGAGGGTGATGGACGAAAAATAGGAGGACGGCGAGGAAGGGGAGGGTGGGGAGGAGGACGGGGAGGAGGACGAGGAGGGGGGAAGGAAAAGGGGGATGAGGAGAAGAGCAGGAAGAATTGGGCATGGCAGGTTGGGGAGACGGAGGGGGAATAGGAGAAGGAAGCGGGCGGGGGGGGGAATTATAATATGTAAGAGAAGGAGGAGGGGGAGGAGGAGGAGGAGGAGGAGGAGGAGGAGGAGGAGGAGGAGGAGGAAGAGGAAGAGGAGGAGGAGGAAGAGGAAGGAGGAGGAGTAGATGATGAGGAGGTGGACGACGCGGGTGACTGGATGGGTGAAGAAGAGGATATTGAGGACGGGGACGAACAGAAGGGGGAGGAGGAGGAGCAGGAGAAGGAGCAAGGGCAGGAGGAGGATATCTACTCTTCGTCCTCCTCCTCCTCTTCCCACTCAGGTATGCCTGCGCTGTTTTTCGCCCTGCGCTGACTGGGGTCGCGCGCGCGTCTCTCGCTTCCTCCCTCCTGTGCCGCCTCGTTGTTTTGGCGCGTGTTTTGCTTCCTCCTGGCGCGGGCTGGGGTTCAAAGCGTCCGACGGTGGGTCGGCCGAGTTGTTGTGGCCACGCTGCTTTTTTTTTTGATTGCGTCTGTTTCTCCGCCGTTTGCCTTCCTCCTGGTCGCTCTTGCAGGTTTGGTACCTTGGCATTCTTCATTTGCACGTGGTGGCGCAATCCTGCTGTTGTGAGTGTTGGTGATTCGGCTGTCTCCGGAGAAATAAAACATTGCTGCTCCTCCTCCTCCTCATCCCCCTCCTTTTCCTCCCGCTCCTCCCCTCCTGCGGTTCTTTCGTGTTCCTGCTGCATCCTCCTCTTCCTCCTCCTCCTCCTCCTCTTCCTCCTCCGCCTCCCAGTCCACGGCTTCCTTCCCTGTCATGTCCTCCTCCTCCTCCCTGCTCGCCCCCCTCCTCCCTCCTTCTCCTCCTCGTCCTCCTCTTCTTTATTTTCCTACTCCCTGTTCCCGTCCCCTTCAAACTCATCTTCTCCTCCTCCTCCTCCTCCTCCTCCTTCTCCTCCTCCTCCTTCTCCCTCCGCCCCCTCCGCCCCCTCCCCCACCACCTCCCCTCCTCATCCTCATCCGCCTCCTCTTCCTTCTCCTCCTCGCTCATCTCATCCTCCTTATCCTCCTCCTCCTCCTCCTCATTCCTCCTCCTTCTCCTCCTTCTCATCCTGCTCCTCCTGCCCCCCCTCGTCCCCTGTCCCTTCGCCCTCTTCCGTCTTCCTCTTCCACGTATTTGTGTTTCGATAGCTTCCTCCTCCTCCTCCTCCTCCTCCTACTCCTCCTCCCCCCTCCGACCCGTCCTCTTCCAGCGTCCCCCCCTTCCTCTTCTTGGTCCCCCCCATCCCCTTTCACTTCCTCATCGTCCTTCGCGTCCCCTTCTTCTTCTCATTCTTCTTCTTCTTCCGCCTCCTCCTCCTTTTCCCTCCCATGTCCTCTTGCCTCTCCTCCTCCTCCTTCCCCTCCTCCTCCAGCTCCTTCTCTTCTTCCGTCTCCTCTTCTCCGCCTGCCCCCCATCCTCCTCCGCCTTCTCCTCTCCTCCATCCCCGTTCCACTCTCTGCCCCGCTCATCCTCAATTCTTGACGCTTCGCGCATCCCCACCAGCCCATCCAGAAACTATGTCCAGGCAAGTTGAAGAGATCAGGGAAGTGGGGGGGCAGCGAGAGGGACAGCCGATCCGTGCAAAAGATGAGGCGGCAGAGGAGGCCAGATGGATATATGGGGGGGTGGCGAAGAACCGAGCGAAGGAGGGATGAGGAGAATGATGACGCTGGGTGGATGGTTGAATGCCGTTCGGACGCCCCTTTGGAAGCCTTTTGGAAGCCTCTTTGGGCGCCTTTGGGGTCTCTTGGCGGTCAATGGGGGCTCTTGGGCGTCTTGTGTGCTTCGGGGGGGCCTCTCGAGACCCATGGGGACCCCTTGGGGCTCTTGGTGGCCTGTTGAAGGCCTCTTGGGGTCTCTGGAGCGTCATGGCGGCCTCTTTTGGAGCCCCACCTCCCCCCCCCCCCCCCCTCCCCTGGAGCCTCTGGAACCTACCTGGGAGCCTCTTGGAGCCTCTTTGGCCGCTTGGCCCTCTTGGGGGCCTCTTGGAGCCTCTTGGGGCCATCTTGGCGCCTTGGGGGGGCCTCCTGGGCGACCTTTGGGGCAGCGTGGAAACGATCGATCAAAAGAAGGGGGGTTCCCTAATTAACCCTAACCCCGCGGAGCTCCAAAATAGCCGCCTGGACCCCCTCTTGGGGCGCTCCTGGAGCGCGCTTGGGCCTCTTATTGGGGCCGTCTGGGCCCTCTTAGGGCCCTCTTGGGGCCTCCTGCGGCTCCTGGGAGCCAGGTGAGGGCCTAGATGGCCATCGGAAGCGAAAAGGCGAGAAGCAGAAAATCATTGGCTTTCCTTAGGTTTTTGAAGGATTGTGGCTTCTTGGGGGGCCTCCTTGGGGAGATAATTGGCCTCTTGGAGCTGTCTTGGAGCGTTCTGATAGCGTCTTGGAGCATCTTCGGAGCCATCTTGCGGCATCTGAGGCTATCTTGAGCCATCTTGGAAGTCATCTTGGACTATCCGAGGCGCTCATGGAGCCATCCTGGGCCATCTTGGACACTCTGACCGCTCGCGACTAGGCCCGTCCAGGTCCAGGGGAGGTTAGGGAAGGGGTGAACCCCTCCGCGATCTGAAGGGGAAAGCGCAGGAAGATGGAGGAGTAAACTCCCTAAACCACCTTCGCCCAGAGGGCTGGTGGGATTCTCCTCCTCATCCTCCAACGTCTCGCCGCCCCCGTCCTCCTCATCCCTCCCCATTTCTTCCGTCCCATCTTTCCTCTCCTCGTCGTCATCGTCGTCGTCCTCCTCTTCGTCCTCCCCCCCATCCCGTCTCGCCCTCGCGCGCAGGTGCCCCAATGGAGCGAAACGAAGCGACGCCCTCCCCTCCCCCTCCTCCTTTCCTTCTTCTCCTTCTCCTCCTCCTATCCTCACCCCCCTCCTCCTCTTCCCTCCTCCTCCTCCTTCCCTTCCTCCCCTGCGCATCCTCCTTCCCTCTTTCTCCTTATCCTATGGTCGTCCTTCCTTCTCTCTCCCCCTCATCCTACTCCCCCCTTGTCTCCTCCTCCTACCATCTCCTCCTCTCGGCTTCCATCCTGCCCTTTCCTTGTTGCCCTCCTCCTCCTCCTCCTCCTCCTCCTCCTCCTCCTCCTCCTCCTCCTCCCCCTCCTCCTCCTCCTCCCTCTCCCTCTCCCTCTCCCTTTCCCTCTCGCTCTCCCTCCCCCTCCCTTCTCTCTTTCCCCTTCTCCTCCTCGCCCTCGTCCTCCTCTCCTCTCGTTCCCTCTCCCTCTCCGTTTCCCTCTTCCTTTCACCTTTTTCCTTTTATCCTCCCTGCCCTCCTTCTCATCGCCCTCCTGCTTCCCGCCACCCTCTCCACCTCCCTCCATATCCTCCTCCTTCTCTTCATCCTCCGCGTCTTCCTCCTCTTCCTACTCCTCCGTCCCCCTCCCCCGTCCCTCTGCAATCCATTCATCTCCCTCTTTCGTCTCCTCCTCTTCCTCCTCGCCCTCCTCCTCCTCCATTCAAGCCAGTGATAACAGCGAAGCATGGGCCGCAGAGGCAAAGGGCCAAGGGCACCTAAGGACAAGTTGCATGTCCTTGCCCCGGTTTTGGACGCACGGGCTCGACTACACAATCGATTTGCCGCTGACTTTGGGGGGGGCGCCAAATCATTGAAGGACTGCTTTGTTCATCTATGTAAAATCAACGACAAAAATATTCCACGGCGCATCAATGACATAGTCGGTCCCCTGGTACAAGACCTGGGCCGCCTTGCATTCAGTCTGCTGCAAATCAGCCGCATTCCACCGAGGGAACGCGACCGTCCGCAGCTCGAAAGCGCTACCTCCACTCCCCCTGGCCCAGACGGTTTCCAAAGGGAGTGCGGCTCGCGTGGCGGTCAGAACATCCCCCCGCGATGC